GGATGTCTAGTGTTTAACGCTGTGAATAGAAGAACAACAGTATCTCTAATTTACAAGCCCTTGATTGGGCAAAAAATTAATTTGAATAATTTTTAGAGCGGTTACTTCAACAACAATACCAAACAAGTGAACTCTCCATTATTATGGGTGATATTAACCTAAACATAATCTCAGAAGACACATGGTCACATGAGAAGTAATCTTGTTCATTGTCATGCTTTCAAAAACTTTATTGATTTGCCCACAAGAATAACGGCAACTTCTGGTACTTTAATAGATGTATGCCTATCAAACATATGCAGTAGTGACATCAAAGCAGGTGTTCTAGTTTCTGATGTAAGCGATCATCTTCCGATTTTTCGCATTATCAAAATCAGCTACAGTATCAGAAATGCAGCATCACCCAGCTAATTTTCATCACAAGATCAATGATCAAACATTGGAGAATTTCAGGCTGTTGCTGTCAAAAGAACGATGGCAAGATGTTTATCGTGAGTCCAAGGCTAGGAAGGCTTACAGTATCTTTTTGCAGCATATGCGTGAATACTATGACATTGCTTTTCCATTGCAACAAGCTTATCACAGAAACAAAAAAGCAAGAAAGCCATGGATAGATCAAAAAAATTGTATAAACGTATAAAACACAAGAATTCAATATTTCACAGATTTCTTAGAAATCGCGATCCAGAAGTGCTAAATGAGTATAAGAAATATAGAAATAAATTGAACAGCGATATTAAAAGGGCGAAAGACGTGTACTTTGGAAACTTTTCTATCGGCTGCGAAATCAACCAAAAAAATTGTGGGAAGCAGTTAACAATCTAGCAGGAAGAACAAAAAGTGACCGATCCCACACAGCCCTGACAGCAGAAAACACAAAACTAGTTGACGATATGAACAGACATTTTATAAAAGCGGGGACTTATCCACCTGGTGCAAAAAGCCGTAGAAATAATAATGAAGTTATAGCCGAGGTCAATGAAACTATTTTCTTGAGATCAACAGATCCCAACGAAGTAGTAGCAGTAATAAAAAGCTAGAACGAAATGTAGCTGCGGGTATAGACGGAATTACTTCGAATGCAGTAATACATGTCGCGCATGAGATTAGCGAAGTGCTAGCATATTTACTAAATTTAACATTAACTGGTGGAATTTTTCGGAAGAATCGAAAATAGCCTGAGTTACGCCAATACACAAAGGGAGGGATAATGGACAATGTAGTGATTACAGACTAATATCTATATTAACTGTGTTTTCAAAGATTTTCGAAGATATAATTTACGTCTGATTAGTTACATTTTTTAACACATGCCAAGGTAATTACAACGAGTCAGTACGGCTTTCAAAAGAATAAATCCACTGAACAAGCACTCTTTGTATATCAAAGATAAAATAATAAATAATATTGAAGACAAAAACTATATGCTTGGTCTATTTTTAGATCTAAAGAAGGCATTTGATTCTATAGATAACAAAATTTTGTTACAGAAGTTAGAGAAGTACGGAATTAGGGGTGTTACAAGTCGGTTGCTGATAAGCTATTTAAATAATCGTCAACAGTTCGTACGTATGCAGGATGTTTCGTCTAGTTATCTAACGCTTGAACGAGGCGTCCCTCAAGGCTCTAAGCTAGGTCCGTTATTATTTCATAATTTTCGTAAATAATATAGTTAATATACCTGATTCCCCAAAATTAATAATGTACGCTGACACCAATCTATTTTTTAAATCACGGGACCTGAATGAATTAGAATACAGTGTGAATCACTACCTAGTATCACTAGCTGCCGAATGAATCGAAACAAATTGCAATTAAATGCTGAAAAAACAGAATACATTATATTCAGGTCGCGCAATACACCCATTGATAAGGAAATAACCTATACTTATGCCGGAATGAAACTGCAGCAAGTGACATACCAGAAGTTTCTTGGAGTGACGTTTAATGAAGAGTTAAGCTGGAACGCGCATATTAGCCAACTATGTGTAGACTTACCAAAAAGCATTGGTATTATGTACAGAATTTCTAAACTTGTTCCCCTATGGCTGAAACAACAGCTATACAATTGCCTTTTTTGTTCTAAGCTGTGCTATGGAGCTCTGGTGTGGGGAACAACTACCAAAACTAACTACAAGAAACTTGTACTTCTACAAAAAAGGGTTCTCGGCATATACTGCAAACACCAAAGAAATTACGCAAACTTGAGGATAGCACCTTTATTTCAAAGATATCATATGCTTCGTGCCGATCAAGTCTGTTATCTGAAAATATTGCTAATCATATACAGCAAAAAACTGTATGAGCCCAGCGAAGGAGCTAGACAACACACTTATCCTATCCACCAAATCTTACGCCGTCCACAACGAACAAGAACAAATTATGGTAAACAAACTTTTACCCATCAAACAACTAGCATATTAAACAAATTAGAACATAAGCTTAATTTTGATTGTAAAGAAAAAGCTTTTGAGGTACAAGTTAAAGAAGTGCTAATGCAGGAAAACATATTTTTTGATGGATCCTAAAAACTACTGATGTTAGCAATGGTAGTAGTCGAGCGATGGAAATCTTGTACTGCATGTATTTTATTAACTATAAAATATAATGGTATGTATCACATGTCTCTAATGTTCTAGTCTGATTCCTTCCTGAGTGATTGTTATTTAAGTATGTTACGTAGTAAGTATGTTACTAGATTTGTATAATCAGTCAGATTCAATGTAACATGATATTTTTTTAGCAGTCACTCAGATTACACCCCACCAGTAATGATAAAAGAAGTCAGAAAAGCTTTGGAGAGCATGCAAAGAGGCAAAGCTGCTGGAGAGGATCAGGTAACATCAGATCTGCTGAAAAATGGAGGACAGATTGTGTTAGAAAAACTAGCCACCCTGTTTACGAGGTGTCTCCTGACGGGAAGAGTACCAGAGTCTTGGAAGACCGCTAACATCATCTTAATACATAAGAAACAAGATGACAAGGACTTGAAGAATTACAGGCCGATCAGCTTGCTCTCTGTAGTATACAAGCTATTTACAAAGGTAATTGCTAACAGAGTAAAGAAAACATTAGAATTCAATCAACCAAAGGAACAAGCAGGATTTCAAACAGGCTACTCAACAATTAACCACATTCATACTATCAATCAGGTAATAGAGAAATGCTCAGAGTATAACCAACCACTATACATAGCCTTCATAGATTACGAGAAGGCGTTTGATTCAGTAGAAATATCAGCCGTCATGCAAACACTGCGGAATCAGGGCGTAGATGAAGTATATATAAACATTCTGGAAGAAATCTACAGGGGATCAACTGCTACCATAGTGCTTCATAAAGGAAGCAATAGAATACCAATCAAGAAGGGTGTAAGGCAGGGGGACACAATTTCCCCAATGCTATTTACTGCGTGTTTACAGGAGGTTTTCAGAAGCCTAGAATGGGAACAGTTAGGAATAAGAGTCAATGGAGAATACCTTAGTAACCTGCGCTTTGCCGATGACATTGCATTGCTGAGTAACTCAGGGGACGAATTGCAACTCATGATTACGGAGTTAGACAAGGAGAGCAGAAAAGTGGGTCTTACAATTAATCTGCAGAAAACGAAAGTAATGTACAACAACCTCGGCAAGGAGCAGCACTTCGAGATAGGTAATAGTGCACTTGAAGTTATAAAAGACCATGTCTACTTAGGGCAGGTAATAACCGCAGAGCCGAACCACGAGATTGAAGTAACTAGAAGAATAATAATGGGGTGGAGCACATTCGGCAAGCCCTCTCAAATTATGACAGGTAGATTGCCACTATCCCTCAAGAGGAAGGTATATAACAGCTGTATCTTGCCGGTACTTAGCTACGGAGCAGAAACCTGGAGACTTACAAAGAGGGTTCTGCTTAAATTGAGGACGACGCAGCGAGCAATGGAAAGAAAAATGGTAGGTGTAACCTTAAGAGACAAGAAGAGAGCAGAATGGATTAGGGAACAAATGGGGGTTAAGGATATCATAGCTGAAATCAAGAAGAACAAAAGGACATGGGCAGGGCATGTAGCGCGTAGACAGGATAACCACTGGTCATTAAGGGTAACTGACTGGATTCCCAGAGAAGGGAAGTGGGTTAGGGGAAGACAGAAGATTAGGTGGGCAGATGAGATTAAGAAGTTTGCGGGTATAAATTGGCAGCAGCAAGCACAGGACCGGGTTAACTGGCGGAACATGGGAGAGGCCTTTGTCCTGCAGTGGACGTAGTCAGGCTGATGATGATGATGATTCTTTGCTCTGTTGCTTCTTTTGTTCATGAAGGTCTGGATGCCGCGAAAGCTATTTCTTTATTTTTATTTTTTGATGTACGAACTGTGTACAAGGGTGTTGGGTCCTCTGTCAGGCTATATGCCTTTAGCCCCAACATCCTTTTGTTTCTTGTGTCCTGTACAAGAAAACAATAAAACAAATTTTGAAAATTGAATTGAAATTAATACTGTTCCTTTCGAGTTAGAATGGAACCCAGGCCATCTATGTGGCAAGGAAGTGTTATATCGCAAAGGCACCCTGCTGCCTAAAACTACTTGGCAAAGAAACAGTATATGAATGTCGTGAAGTAAAATAAAAAGTAAAAAAAAAAAAAACTTCCTTAACCCAGGCTGTGTGCGTAGCAAACACGTTCTACCAGAAAGCCAGTGTATTGCTTGAAATCGCTTTGGAAAAAAACATTGTATGAATGTAATGCAGTGGAAGGAGTCTTCTTAATGTAAGATTATATGGCAGAAGTGTAGAATCCTGCCAGGCATCGAAACATGTAAACTGAAGTGAGCAGCCATCACAAAGTGTTCCGACACACTTGATCATAATCAGGTGCAAGTGTCAATAAAGGGAGCTGCTGCATAGGTTCACGTGTTGCCATACGAATGCGTAGTGAGCCTTTCGCTGTTTCGCAAAACGAGGAATTATGGTGTAAAGGACACTAATAACAACTGTTCTTGCAGTTGGCATTCAGATAGCTTAAAGAGGTCAATGTGTTTTTATTCAAGTACACTAAGAGCATGGGTATGCATTACATAGGAGAGACAGAATACAACAAAGCTGTCAAAATTACAGCATACAAATTAAACAACATATGAAACGATTGATACAAATAGATACAGATCTACACATACTGTTATACACGCACTCATACTTCTGTAGATATACCATTACTTAACAGGGCACTAATGCAATGCAGATGAAAGTACTATTAAAAGAATAGAAAAACAGCTTGAAAAAAAGTCTTGAAAGAACAAGAAAAGAATACAATAAGAAAAGATAATTCACGTTGGTTGAAATACAGGACACAAAGGAAATACTGATAACAAAACAAGAACATTATTAGCATTCAAAAACTTTTAAATTTATAAGCCTTCATGATTTAGAGAAGAGACGGTGTCGGCAGCAGATAGCTCGTTCCAATGATTTAGTATTGCGAGAAAAAGTGTAACATGTAGAGTCATTTGCTCCCTTAGAGTATGGTTAATGTATGCACCAGGAATTGAAGTAAGGCTAGCAATAAGGAAGGCAGTGAGCATGGGGCTAATTTATGCATTCGATTCTTGATTGTGAAGCTTAAGCAACCTCATAAGTTTTTTTTTTTTTTGCACAATTCGCATGGGGACGCACTGTACATTAAATATGAGTAACATGCCGTGCGGATGCACTGCATGTTACTAGCATTGGCAGAATCGTAAAAGCTTGTGCTCGCTATCATTGAACTAAAAGTTTGAGCTTTTGTGCAATACAAAAGTTTCTCTATATGATTTCAGTGCCTCACCTTTCAGGGAAAAGTGCATGATTTTTAATTTAGTTTGGCTTTTACACTTTCTCTAATGGGACTTTATTTTTAATTCATTGCAAACTGCATGTGCTAGACTGTACTAGCAAAGTTATGGTCTTATTAGTTGGTTCACAGCTTCTATGTTCTTCTACATAACTCTGCGTTAGCACAGTGCTCTGGAACGATAATTGAAACATGCATTCACATACGCACAAGCTAGCTAGTACAGTGGAAACAGATTTTAAAAGGTCACTGGCATTTATGCATGAGACGCATGTGCTTTGCGAGCGTACTACTGCGTGCAAACGCCTGTTGACAAATAGTGCACTGATGAGGCCGTTCGCCCGTGTGGCTGAGAAGATGGTTAATCAATGTGGATCTTCGTGCGAACCTTCGAGGGCAGAGATGGCATTTACAGGGCCGTTCGCCAGTGTGAGTGCGCAGGTGAACACGCAAAGCATAGTTTCGGTTGAATCTCTGCGGGCACAAATGGCACTCAAATGGTCGCTCGCCTGTATGAACTCTGATGTGTTGTTGCAGGCCAGATGGCGAAGCATCCTTGTAGTCACAGAAGTTACAGCAGTAGCGGCGAGTGTGCTCTGGCTTCGCAGCATCCGAAGTTGCTGGAGAGGTAAACGACTCCCAAGCTGCACAGAGGAAACAAAATGAAGTGTTGCTTTTCCTTTGCAAAATGAAAAGATAATAAATTTCACTTCTACAGTTTGACGCTGCAACAGTGCTCTATGATTCGGAGTCATGCTGTAGTGAGGAAACCTGCAATGATTTCAACCATATCGGAATTTCAATTCAAGTACAAAAGTGTTTCTGTATCTCACTTCTATTGCAACGATACTATGATAACAGAATTGGCACAAAATATTCAACGAAGAAGGCTTGGTGAAACTTCAGGAACTATGTACAGCAGGTGATAAATTAACATTTTGTTTGGTATACGTAAGTGCTACTGCTAAAAAAGCAAGTTATTATTACACCATTTTATAGCAGGATGTAATCAAAATAATCTCTTGCACTAGACTGTCTCACTTCAGTAACATTTTATAGATATAAACATGTCATAAAAGCACAGTATACCAAAATGTACGCTACCGGAAGAACATAAAGCCAAACACAAATTGAGCAGTGCTTTTTCAGTATGCAGGTTGAAAAACAGCAATGCAGAGCTCATCCCAAACAGCAAAAAACGAGTGAAAAAAAATAAGAAGAGAGAATTTGAAAAAAAATGGTGTCGAATAAAGGACCAATTTTCATAGATAATTATTGTTTTCAGCATTTATAACAACAAATATTGTTTACAATACACAGAACTGTACTGCAAAGAACAATGCTCTCTTGCTCCCTCTCAATGCTCTTTGGAACACCTATACCACAGAGTAATCATAAAAAGGCTATCAAACGTAAAGAGGACACACACATCTGCATCACTGAAAATGATGAAAGCACATCATCTACAATTTAAACCACTAAAAGCATCAGTAGCGACAATGCATAACGAGAAAAGGCAAAACTTTTTAAAACATAACATGCATACAATGGATAGTAGACAGGGGGTATGATGATACTTAATTTAATTTCCTTTGTTTATTGTTACTGGGAAAGACCAAGAAATAGTGATGGTCAAGGTAAAGGCAGTAATGGGACAGCATGACGTGCCCTTAGCCACAGTGTTGCATTAAGGCAGAGGGTTGTGTAAAACATTACAAAACACATTTTCATAAGTAAAAAAAAACATGTATACAGTACAGAGTTATCAATAATGAACAACACAATGTGACAGTGGAAGGTAGACAAAGATATAATACATGACACTAAATACACTTAAAGAACACCTGATTAAATTAAATTACTCACACTATATATATGACTGACTACAGGTGAAGAAGAAATCATTAAAAAGTCATTAAGGAAAAGTTTGACTAAGTGGACGTGGTGCAGATCTTGTTACATTTCTAATATTGATGCCGGCATCATGAAATGTAGCCTGGATAAATTATTTGTAATCATTTGAAGTCATAATTAGTTGTAGAAGGAGATATGGACCAAAGTTCTTTGCAATGATTGGTAGATACAGCGGTATTTTTTTACAGACAAGCGATTTCATTAAGTGTGCTGTTTGGAGATCTTAAGCTTGAGTGTCATAGGCAAAGCAGAAAAGAGGTGGAAATTTAAGGGATAATGTTTCTTTGTTAGGCACAGTATTAATGAGAACAGACAAGGAAAAATCTTTCCTTGGCATCACTGTCTGTCAGTTCTCATTAAATTATGCAAAGTAGGAAGTGGTTGTACAGGGAAAAATCCAACATCCTCTATCTAACTGTGAAATCAGAGTGACTTGATACTAGGTGAAATGTACCAAAGGTGAGAAACAGCAGAACAAAATATTACCAATAGTCAACAAAAACAAAATTATATTCATCAGGCCTATAAATATTCTTACTTTATGAAGTTTTTTTTTTTGAATGACATGTTAATTCTGAGCAAGCTGTGCTATCATAACCAGGTTTTCTTTATGGTGTTTATATACCTTCTCACAGCATTTTCTCCGTAAAGAAATCTTACTGAAAGAAATATTTGTGAAAACAGTGCACTATTTAATAAAATGTTTTATAATCACAATTAATAATGCACTGCAGGTCTCTGTATAGAATCCAAACTGCATTAAGCAAGGCTGGACGGTTTGATGACGTCATGACATTGTGCATGTGCAGCGTTGATGAAATATAACATGGCACAGATAAATCGAGCATTAAACTGGCACATGGAGCTGCTTGAGATTAGAGATGCGGAAGTCCCGGAAATTTTGAGCAACTGAAAAAGATTTTTTTTTTTCAAGTTTTTCTTTCTGAATTTTGAAAGAAAATGAAGAATAAATTGTATTTAGCATATTGCCATATGGTAATAGTTTATTGCCAAATGTCAAAATCAATAACTGTCATTATGAAATAACGGGATTGAAATGCTTTCTCTGTTTTCACGAACGAATATGGCATTTAACAGATCAAAGGCAGGCACTAGCGTCAATATGAATTCATTTAGCACTCTATGAATGATTGCAGATTCCTAGAATCGTTACGGCAGTTACAATAAGGAACTCGGAAATGTATATTTCGTCATGGCTTCAACTATGGAAACATTGATCAAGATGGTAAAAAGATGAATTTTAAGCTCTTATTCACAGTCGGTATCACTGGCTTCATCATGTAGCTTTCTTCATGATGTTAAAATGTCGCATTGAAAAAAGCGCTAGCTGCTGTTGCAGTGAATACAGACAGCGAGTCTGTTTCCCGCCAATGGTCTCTCAACCATGAAGCGAATCCACACGTTGGAAATTGGCCCAACCATTGCAGAATCCGCTTGCACACGGCTTTACGGACGCTCGGTGCCTAATGTTTATTTCTGCACAATTTATGCAATTTAGCAATTTTAGCCAATTTAACTTCACCGAAAAACAATGGAAAAAAGTTTTTTTTTGGAATTTCCTAGTTTCATACCATTCTGATTCTGTTAGAACTTCAATAAAATTATTAATTTCAACAAAATCAATTATTAATTACCCAATCACACTGGTAAGCATGCTAAAGCAATAAAGTAAGAGGTATCATTAAAATTGGTTGGCAGGCTCTAATAGGCTTGACTTAGCCAATCGCCCCAAACTGAACACGTTTGTTTTATAGCTCCTGAATCTAGAATTGATTGCTAGATAGAAATTTCTCACAGCAAAAGCAGCCATGCAGGGTGTTCTAAGAAATGGGTCCAATATTGTTTAAAAAACAGCAAAGGACACTATTTACTCGCTATCTTCACTGTTGCTTTTTATGTAGCATGAGGCATCTTAAAATGGTTGAAGACATCACTTGGAGCAGTAATTAGGAAATTTAAAATTAACCTTTTAATTAGTGAAGTTAGGTAGGTAAGTTAAAACGAGAAGTCCTTGATGAGAAGAACACATTGCCAACTTGAGATTTTCGAAAAGCGGCTTCTAGTAATAGCTACAAACTAATGAAATTCTCCTAAATTCTGTGGCAAAACTGAAATCAAAGGGCCGATGGGCACAACAAGCAGACAACTACAATCGCCTCATTGTTCAAAACGGTGGTTACAGGTGTGCTGTTTGTTAACGTATGTGCATCATGCATGCTATAATTGTGAGCGCAGCTCTCACACCGAAGTCGGTTGATGGTTGATATAATAAAGGTCCCTCATTTAAATTGCACTCTTTCACGTTTTGGCTTTGCTGCAGAATTTAGGAGAAATTCATTAATTCATAGTTTTTAGTTATTAATTTGTAGTTATTAGACTTAAACTCAGCTAAGTAAAAAGTTAATTGATCTTCATTCTTAATTAGCATTCCATATGCTATCTTCAGCCCTCTTCAACTTGCAGTTACAGAAAAAACAACTGTGAAGACAGCGAGCAAATAGTGTCTTTTGGTAAAAAAATAAACAATAGTGAACACATTTTTTAAAACAACCTGTATGATATTCAGCATAAAGAAACTACAAAATACTGTTTATAGATAATAGGTGCATATTAACAGAGGAAACATTTAAGTCCTTGTCTCTCTACCAGAGTAATCAGACATTGCAACTTCTCTGAATGACAGGGAGTGACAAGTGATGTTCAGCCAAGAGTCGCAAGGTTCTCAAAAGTGAGTGTTGACATTTCTGAGTGAAAATCATTCTCACAACAGTCAAGCAGGCAAAGTGCTTTGTTAAACATTTTACGAGAACGAAGCCTCATTCAGCAACAATAATATGCAGAAATGCAATCAAATTTTCAATGCTAAATATGAAATGAGTTTTTTTTTTTCATTCTAAAGAGCCTTTCCAAGCATACATTCATTTAAACAATACATTCATGCAAACCACACAAAGTTAGAACTTCAGAGAAACAGTGTGAATACAATGAGCAACGAAAGCATCAGAAAACCCAGTGACAACAATGACATGCTAGGGACGTCCACAGGACAACCCTAACTGGATATCGGATATCCACTGCATTTCCAAAACAACAGCGGCTGACATCCCTTGCAGGTCGATTTGGCCGCACTTTCCTGAACCCAGGGTTATCCCTTGCAAGTCCCACAGGACACATTGTGTACATGACAGGGAGAATAAGGAATGTCTTTTATTCATGGTATCTTCTATAGCCTTTTTTTTACTCTCTGAAGTTGTAATGTCAGAAGCTCAAGGCATGAATAAGGTTCCTTGTGCTTTCAAAGGCTAACTTCATTAGTTTTTCTGGACATGCACTGAAACTGATGACACTAGACTAAAGCACACATAAATTTTATACCAAAGTGATTTTTTTTAATAGACCTAAGCAAATTAGTACCTCAAAGCATAGAAAAACTTTTGAGTGATTTGAACTTTTGATATCCCAACACTTCATTAAATAAAATTTGACAGATAGCAACAAATAATGCTAAACGTCTGCTTCTGCTAGAGAAAGACTGAGTCAAGTGTATTGCATAGACACCTTTTTCTTTAGGCACATAGCACAAAACACGTACATTGCATACTGTGACTAGATGTTGCATACATACATGTTTAAGTTACATGTAAACAGGAATTGAATATTGAACGAATATGTATCGACAAGTACGCCAGATACTACAACCAAAAGATAAAGCAGCTGTGATATAAGAAAATAGTACATGACATGCTCCTAAGGAATGTCATATTCAGCAAGGTCGTGCCCATTCCATGTCTTTCAACTGGCGCCCCAATGTCTTCATATTTCCTTGGAGGCTGACCTGTTAAATTATGTTTCTTTTAGCAAATGCAAAGAAAGCAAATGCCTCTATAAAATGCTATTTTCCCACTACATGCATGCCATGCACAGAAAACTGTCAAAGAAAGCAAAAATTATTGAAAGTAACAGAGAAAAACAAAAAACAAGCTTGCTGTCACTTCCACACATTCAAAAAGAACTTCATCTACACAACAATGTGGTGCACTGGTGGTCCACAATGTGGTCCACATGGTGCACTGGCTCCAACAGCTAAGGCGACCTGAGCCAGTGCATGAGATGGCGGGATTAAGTCAGAGCTGATGAAGCCACATTCTGACGGAGACATAACAACAAGTACAATAATATTAATCATACACCATGATATGATTATGAGGTTGCCATAGTGGAGGGCTCTGGCAATTTTTACCATTTGGTGGTGTTAACACTCAGAGATCACACATGGGCCTTTAGCATTTTACTTCCACCCGAATGAGAGTGCCACTGCGAGGATCGCACCCACGATCTTCAGGTTAGCAGCCAAGGGACTGTAACCACTACACCATTGCAGCGAATAGGCATAGTGCCATAGCACCCACATGCTTTCATTGTAAAGAATATCGTAATACCCAGGGGGTAAAGGTTAATATAAAGCCCTCCACTATGGCGCATAATTCCTTGTAGTTTTTTAAAGGGAAACTCCTGAATATAATGTGCAAAATTGTGTTCTTTGACAAAAAGTGAAGAGCAATAAGTAATGTGGCTCTGGACAGTGGGGGCTGGCAGCAGCAACTTCTGCACTAAATTTAAGAAGCCTACTAAAAATGGCACAAAGGCAGAATATTTGCACCATTAACAGAAAAATACAAGAATGACCTCCCTCGTTAGAGGTAGTACACGTAGTTGGCCACACAAAGCTCGTTGTGCTCACTGAAAGGTGGTCACCCCAAAGAACACATTGCCAATATCATAAATCTGTGAAAAAACAGATCTGGTTTTGTGCAACTGAAAGAAGAAACCAATTGAAACACGCAAGATCATTTAACAATAGCATAAGCCATTGCAAAGGGCTAGAACATATCTCGGTTGTACACAGAAGCAGAATTAAAAGCACAACACAACACTAGAATCCTGGCATGCTGCAAAGGTGAAGTACAGCGTTACAGCTATAATATACATATGATTATATGATCCAGTAGAAGAAATACTACACGGTAGAGAACTTTTTCAACCTTTTTAGCCAGAGACTGGCGTTCATCGGGCAAAAAAACATTTCCCTGAGAAAACAGCAGTCTTCTTAATGAAGGCCTGACCTCAGATAGAACAAAGAAATAAAGTTTTTGTTATATGCATCGTCTACCTTATAGTATGTATGTATCTATCTATATATATGAACAAACAAAATATTGGAGGCTTTTTTTCTTTTGTTAGTGAATAAATGACATACCATATATAATATATATGAGAGCCAATACATTCTCTGCAAATATTGTGCCTCATGCATCATATTTTGCTTGAAACATCTCGCTGTGCTTTCTCTCGATGATAAAAACAGTGCAAGAACAACACATGAACAATGAGCATTGGTCTGAACAACCAACTTGTCCGATTTACTTACGTTACGAGTAGAGACCAGATTATAGACAAATGCCTATCTTGTTCCTTGCGTTCCTATCGAGCCATTTTGATATAAGAGCATGAATTAGAGGTTAAAAAGGGCTTTTATAGTATTTTTATAGCACCTATAAAAGCCTATTTTAAGTGTTGGGGCCTAAATACCTATAAGTGCCTATAAATGCTTATTTTCAAAATTGGTGCCTATATGAGCACTATTGAAGCCCAAGTTTTATTCCGAAGCGTGGTTTTAAATCATTATTTATGCAAAAAAGACAACATAGATATTTCCAAACATTATGAGATTCAACGAAGTCCTCTAGTTCCAGCAACTTGCGTAAAACTGCCGCCAACCGCAGTGAAATGGCACTCTCTGGCCACCTTAAACCACAGAACTGACATGCTGCGAGCAATTGGAGGAGGATCATGAGGAGTGCAAAAGACGCTATTTTTGCATTCCTAAGTAGAAGCACGTCTCAGCATCTGCAGAGAATGAGGAGAAAGAAGAAAGATGGGATAACAAGAACAGTGGTGTCTGTGGCAGAGGACGCGGGGACTGTCTTTTACAGACAGGTGTTGATTGTCTAGAAGGAACTGAAGAATCACCAGGAAACCTGGGTGTTGTGGTGGGAAAGGAACAGCAGGCTCTTCAGTTCAGCCGCGGGCAGGTGGAGAACGAATGAAAAACCATGGAGGGCCATCATGGAATGCTCATGCTGATTCAATGGTGGGGAAGGCCGCAAAATCGTTATATCTTATACAGCGAAGCCTGACACAGGCGCCGGCATGTTTACTATCAATGGTGTATTTAGCATACATTCAGCCTTAGCCTCAATACGCGTATGCCGTATGAGATACCTTGGCATATGTCTTTAAGTGGCAAACATTAAAAAATACAGAACATGGCTGTAAGGTTTGTCTCAAGCCCTTACTAACCCATCTGCTGCAGCTTCTTCAGGTAAAAATGTGGTGTGCACGCGGCTTTTGTTTTTTGTAATTTACTATTTTAAGCACCCCTCTCTAGGTGACATAAGAAGTTGTAGTTAGACCCTAGAAGTTTTTGCGTACCCAGTGAAAAGCGTTCCACCACGGTGATTTTTCAAATAGGCTTGCTACGAGCCACAAAACCATGATGCGAAGAAGCAAGCTTGAATCCCTTGCCTTTCGCCCCATGTAGCCATTGTGAGCCTAATTCTTTCCTTGCTCTCTTCGGTATCGGGAATGGAGGATCACATGATGCACATGCACAAAGATTATCATGTGCAAGCAAGGTCATGCGGTTCAGCCTACTCGTGCACGTACGCCATCGATGTTGTGTCGTTTCGGCATTCTCTGTTGTGTATTACCCATTTCTGTGGGATGGATCAGTATGTGGGCGTACATTTGGAGAGGCTAGAATGGATCATGTATCGTAACCGCGATATACGACACCACTCTGCTGAAACTGCGGTCAGAGACGACACACCAAAAACAAGCTAAGCGTTACCAGGGTTGGCAAAGACACATTGTAGGAACGACGAGAAGACAAACGCAAGTGCAGTGAGGTGGTGGTAGTAGTAGTAGTATATATTAGTAGTAGCAGTGGTAGTATATGTGCTGTTATGTCAAAAAATTAACATATAATTATGAGGGATGCCATAGTGGAGATATCCAGAAATTTTAACCATCTTGTGTTCTTTATAACGAGCACTGACATTGTGCAGTACGCGGGCATCTACCTTTTCACCTCAATCCCGATGCGACCGCCGTGGTCGTAATCGACCCCGCGACATTCGGATCAGCAACGGAGCACCCTAGTCACTGGTCCATCCCGGTGGACGCGAAACGCGGGCCGATTAGTGTATAGCATCTCGCGGCCACTGAAAACAAAAATAATAAGCTGACATTTCATTTCCATGTTTGATTATTTTCCCCAGCTTTCATTCATTACATTCATTTTGAAAGGGCAGTGCAAAGACACAGGAAAAAGAAAGACATAGAGACAAAGAGTGCTGTCTTTCTTTTCCCTTTGTGATACGAAGCAGCTAGCCCAAACCAAAGTACTCCTCATTCATGCAACACAACGGAACATACAAATTACACATGCCACCTAGAATGTCAGGTGCAATGCTCTTAATGAAGTACCGTTTGAAATGCAGACTATAAACAGGAGACTGGACATTTTTCATTTGTTTTTCTAGATATAGCTAGCATTTAACGAAGTTCTTATGAAGAGTGTACGGTGAGCGACGCCAGAGCACCAATGTCAACGTGAAAGTAGCGACGTGAAAGCAGGATGATATTCCTTGCTGTACGTCACTCCCTCCATCATGGGGCGTACGCCTGCGAGAAGCACAAGTGTCTTTCAGTAGAAATTGAGCATTTTTCCGCAACATTTGAGTTGTAAATCTTAACAGGCATGGTCCTGAGTGCCCGGTGCATCAACTACACTTGCCTGCTCGAAATTGCCAAAGCTAGCGAGGGGCCCTATAGAACGTTCACTGGCCAGAGAGAAATTGATCCTAAGCGATTATACCTGGCTTCCCTCGCGTCTGGGGCATCAGTGGTGTGGTTATTTGCTGCTGTGCTGCCCTTCCCAGCCATGACAAAATAAAATAAAACCAGGAAAGTGTTGATTGGACGGTGAACACTTCACTCGCATTGCTCGACAAAAGACTAGTAAAGTCTTTAATCTGCGAATCACACTGGGAGTGCATGCCTATGTTCAACCTTTGGTGCCTTTGTGCTACCTTCAGCAATATGATTTTTTTTTTGCTTCTTGTCATTGATACAAGTCACCGACATCTTTGTTTTAAATTATCTCAATTTTTTTAAACTTATTGTGCCTATATTTATTATTTTTACGGCCTAAAACAGCATTTTACCTGCCTGTCTTTGGTGCCTAGAACACACTTCCTTTGTGCCTAAAAATCCGGCCTCTAGTTATGAGCTTTCTCTGCCACTGAAATGCCAAAACTACTGCGTTGAAAAGCGCTTTTGTTTGTACGCTTAATTGCAGCTCACATAATTCAACATAATCAGATCTCAACATTCAGGTGTTGAGCAGCTAAATATGCTGTTTAACCCCCGAATGCAGAGATGTTACTTGGCTCGTACTTGACTCATTCTTGACTCAAGACAGTCTTGACGGTCGCCATAAATCGTTCTCAAACTTGCGGATGACTTGAAGGCGACTTGGCTCGGTCGAAGTCAGGACAAGTTTCAAGTCAGCTGCGGGGCTAGCTTGAAAGCGACTTCACGCGTTATTTCAACATGACCACCTCTCGAATGGATGTCGCGTGAAAGGTGGCCGCTTTTGAGTTTGCTTGCTTCGCCATAAGCGAAGCATTTTTTCAGGCGCACTGCCTGCCGAAGATTCTTGGAACCGCTTTACGTGACCAAGGAAATCCGATGGAGTTGTACGACGAGCAACAATTCCACGCTAGGTACAGATTCATGAAGAACGCCGTGGGGCAGCTGCTCGTTATGTTGCCGCTCCGTGAAAGTAGGGACAACCGAAGACAGCCCGTGCATCCAGTGTTACAGCTACTGATGGCTCTCAGTCAGGTTTTACAGCGCTGGCACATTCCAACCAGTCACCGGAAATTTCATCCGCATTCCGTAGTCGACAGTGTGCCGTGCAGTCGGAAAAGTTACGCTACTCATCGCAAAGCACCTGTACGCGATGCTGGTGCGCTTTCCGCAACCGGCAGACTGTTATGAAGTGGCTGAGTTCTCTTGCGTTACAGGTTGTGTCGACTACACACACGTGCGTATTAATAGCCCCGGTGTCGACAACGCCAAAGTGTTCCGTAACCGCAAAGGCTATTTCTGTTTTTCTATAACACGACATTTTCCGTCTCTTTCGGTAAAAAAAAAATGACTCGGTGCTGTGATCGTGTGCCTCGTCTATCCTTTCGTCCCGTCTAGGGCGCTGTTGCTCGCTCAGAAAGACATCGCTTGTAGCACAACGCTACGTAAAATTACACACACATAAAAAAGAGGTGCCCCTATCACGGGTTTTTTTATCCGCGTCACCAACATGCAGCGATACATTGCTGCACCCCACGAGACAGAATTCTGCTGAGGGCAAATCCTGACCCCCGCTTTTTCTCTTGTTTACCAAGCTCAACAAAAGGATACGAATCACATTTGTTCCCAGAACTTGTTTGTTTTTTTTTTCCATAATAACTGCGACCTAGCCCATTACAGGCATGCAATGCACACAGGCGAACAGAAAGGCAAATTCCGTGAAAATCGTGTCACCTCGTGAGCCAGGTCAGCACAAATACATGCCATGGCGTTCGACTGAAAAAAAAACGACGAAAGAACCCAACACGATGCTTGTTTCGCCTCCAAACAAGCAACCGTGGAGAAACGCACCGCATTTGGGTGGCCACCAAAACCAGCGGGCAACAAACGCTTTACAGAAGCAACACTGCGCATCGCTGTGGTGGCAGGCACCACGTGCCGCTCGTTAGCCGTAAAATGGCAAGAATATGCCTGTGGCCCTTCGTTTTTATAGTTATTTTAAAACGTATGGTGTTCTTTTGGTGTAATGCATGCCTTACGCGAAAAACTTCATTATTAGCCTTGTTACCAGGCGAGCAACGTGTTTCTGTATTGAAGCACGTTCTTGACTTGACCAAGCAAGACAGCCTGAGCATCTATGAAACGCGAAGGCCGACTTGAGCGTTTTCAAGTCCGCTGCTTGCTTCGCGCCGACTTGCTCAAGTCAAGTCGAAGACGCGGCCAAGTAACATCTCTGCATTCGGGGGTAAGTATGCCAGCAATAATGTAATGAGTGATAGAGACATTTGCTTGAAGAAATAAAGTAATGCAGAAAGAATCATACCAAGCAGGATTTGGCAGCATGCTGTCTTCTGAAGCGGCACCTGGACAAACGTAATTTGTAGCCACCTTATCCAAAAGCACGTCTTTTTTCATTTTCTTGACCGTGTCTGGCAAGCTAACCTCACCAAATTTTTTCCAATGTGTTTTCTATAAAAGCAACAGAACACAACACTTTCAGAGAGAGGCGACATGCTAGTACATAAATTGATCCAGTCAAAAAATTACACAAATGCATTTCAGAGCTAAAAATTTAGAATGATTTAGATTCGCACGTCTGTTTGTCATTTTAGGATTGTGTTCTGAAAGTCTGAGCAGTTTGAAACTTGTGCAACATTATCCACTATTTGACAGAAACAGCCCCTCACCACTTTCGCTAAACCGACAAAAAGTAATGTTTTTTTTTTTTCGTACTCTTCTGCGCAACTTTCTCAGCGCCAGTCACGAAATGCATCACAGTAAAAGCTTGTTAATTTGACTGTCACAGTACCAGCAAAATTATCCTAATTAAACAAATGCTGAAATAACGAAAGTATCAAGAGCACAACAAACAACTCTATTACAGATCTCATTTCCAAGATGAACACGTAAATCCAGTGCCCACCTTGATTAAGAGCAGTGTAAAAGCTGCCACTTTGATCATTCGCAACATTCATCACGCGAGTGGGGCTGAAGACAGCTGTCTTCATCGAAAACGTGGTCCAACCAACACCACAATCAAGCGCATGAAACATTTTGTCGCCACAATTGTGGCTGCACACTGATTATTCATCCAGATAAATTCCCCAGAACAGCACAAAACACCTACTAGACAACAGCCGAGGAGCCTGCGGAAAGCGAGGATATCGCGAGGCTAGCTGCGACACCTTCTCTAACATGGCATCGAAACGACGGGACCACGAAACACCGGCAGTTCTCTCGTTTTGGCACATCGTGAACACTGTACCGCTAGTTCGGAGACGACGAACTTACCTCTGTATCCGCCCTGAGACCTTTCAGAGCTCTTGACGTCCACAGTATCGCTGTACAGAAGTTAAACTACGGATATCATGCCACAGAATACCCAAGGTCAATCTAAATAGGTCGCGAAAGCACAGAACACCTGGCGAAAGCATAGAGAAAGAAGAAGACAAGAGCGGACACTCCGCAAAACCTGGCCTCAGGAAGTGCATCACGACTACGTAACGAACTAGTGCTCCCACCAAACGTCAGAGGACGCAAGCGCAAAAAAACACAGTTATAATCAATTCATCAGAATTGTTTTCACAAATTAATAATTATACACCAAAATTTGGTATGTTTTTATACATAAAAACGATTTATTCAACACACCTTACGCGTTTATTTTTCTTCAGCCGTACTGTCATAAACACCATCTACCCAGCGACAAGCCCATGCATGACTGACAGCGAGACGCTTTTGTCGCTTTCGTCAACGTCGGCTGCGTCGACGTTTTCAAGCGTGAGATAACAGGTGAGGCACGTTTTCAAGCAAAGCTTGTTGAATGACATGTTGTTGGTCTTGTTCGGTCATTTTTTTCAGAAAACGATTACACCTGTGCGAATAAGACACCATGCAACAAACATAGAAAGATGCACACACACACGTTGCGCTTCGTGTGTGCGAGTTTGTTTGTTACGTGGCGTCTCATTCACGCAGTTGTAACCTTTTTCTGAAGCATGTAAGGACTGGGAGGTTCGCTAAAAAGAAAGTTTGTGGCTCTATGCGGCGGCTAGACGGGAACATTGTACAACGTATGCAGTATCGCAAAGGCGGCACGGCGTCAAGCCGAGGCGACGCGTGCTACATCTGCCACGGACGCGAGCGTCTGTGCGCTGAGCATAGCTGGGCAGCT